GTAAAGGCCGAAACGCGTTAGGTATCTTATTAGGTCTATCTTATTAGCCCTTGTATGTCTTTATAGTTTTATATGAGGTATGAATGGGCCCTTGTTTGTTATTTTAATTTATGTTGAATAAACACACATATATATTTTTGTATATTTTATGATTAGATTTTTAGAGCTGGCCCTTTTCTATTCCTGACTAACCTTTTTAGGTTCTGAATTCTAGGTTTAGGTTCAGGTTTTTCCCCCTTTTTTCTTCTTTGTCCTTCACGGTTTCCTCAAGTCACTGCATCCTTGGCTGCCCCTGTATCTGGCGCAGCCTCCCTAGGACCCGTCTCCTCCATCCCGATAGCCTACAGCCCCTCATCACCTTGAGCTCCATGAGGTTTCTTCAGAGACCCTTCTTTTTCCCCCTTTTTTCTTCTTTGTCCTTCACGGTTTCCTCAAGTCACTGCATCCTTGGCTGCCCCTGTATCTGGCGCAGCCTCCCTAGGACCCGTCTCCTCCATCCCGATAGCCTACAGCCCCTCCTGACCTTGAGCTCCATGAGGTTTCTTCAGAGACCCTTCTCTTATGATGGCCTTCCTGACCAAACTCCATCGCCTTCACCCTCTGCCCCTCACGGTTCCTCACCCACAGCTTCACCACCCACTGATGCAATGCAAAAAAAATAAAAATAAAAGGACATTTACCTGCTCCAAAGTCAGCTGCTTGGAAATGGTGTCGTTTTCCAGTTTTTTAATCTTCTTCATCAGTTTGTTGACTTGGAATTCCTGCTCCTGCTCTAAATGCTGCTCGAGTTCAGCCTTCTCATGCTGTAGCTGTAGAGAAGAAGAAGAAGAAGAGGAGATTGGATTCATACCCCGCCCTTCACTACCCCAAAGGTGTCTCAGAGCAGCTTACAAACTCCTTCCCCTTCCCCTCCCCACAACAGACACCCTGTGAGGGAGGTGGGGCTCAGAGAGCTCTTGACAGAAACGGCTCTTTTTCAAGAACAGCTCTTATCAGAACTACGGCTTGCCCAAGGCCATCCAGCAGGTGCAAGTGGAGGAGTGGGGAATCAAACCTGGTTCTCCCAGATTAGAGTCCGGGCACTTAACCACTACACCAAACTGGTAGACCAAGAGAGACAGGGAAACCCAAGACAGAAGCATTTAAAAACGACAGAAGGAATGGTAAAAGACAGTTCCACCTGTA